TTCAGGTTAAGAACTTTGCTTCAGGATGAGAACAGAAATCGGGCTCCGGTGGCACGGCAGCAGCTGGAGGCCCCATTAGCTAAAGTAGTGCTTCAGGTTAAGAACAGTTTCAGGTTAAGTACGGACCTCCGGAACGAATTAAGTACTTAACCTGAGGTACCACTGTAAAATTAAATTAAAATTTGAATAAGAGGGTTGCTGGAAAAGGAGAAGGAACAAGGCCTTGCAAGTTATATGGGCGGGATATTGGGGAATTGGATGGGTGCAGAGGAAGGAATGGAAGAATGCATTGAGAATGTTTACAGAGTTTGAACCCGAGCTTCAAGAGAGAAAAGAACAGCCATCAGACATTCTCTTGACTTTCACAACAAAGAAAATTAAAGATGCAGTAATGCAAAAAAGTTTTGAGGATGGTCTGGTGGTTGAAGGACAGAAAGTTGACATTTTTAAAGAAATGCCATTTAAATTGAGAGTTAAGAGAAGGAAGTATCAAAACCTGACAGCAATTTTAAGAGGAGCAGAAATAAATTACAAATGGGAATTCCTGGAGGGAGTTTCCTTTACCTACAGGAGAAAGAGATTTAGACTAATCTCAGAGAGTCAGGTACAGGAATTCTTAGCGAAACATGGCAAAGACCCAGAGTTTCAAAGCTCGGGGAGAGACTTTAGAACCCCTTATGAGATGCAAAGAGATGAACTGGAAAAGACTGAAAGAGCAGGGCAAAAAAGCAAATCTTTTAAAAATGAATTAAAGGTAAAGGTAAAGGTACCCCTGCCCGTACGGGCCAGTCGTGTCCGACTCTAGGGTTGTGCGCCCATCTCACTCAAGAGGCCGGGGGCCAGCGCTGTCTGCAGACACTTCCGGGTCACGTGGCCAGCGTGACAAAGCTGCTCTGGCGAGCCAGCACCAGCGCAGCACATGGAAACGCCCTTTACCTTCCCACTATAAAGTGGTACCTATTTACCTACTTGCACTTAAGGGTGCTTTCAAACTGCTAGGTGGGCAGGAGCTGGGACCGAAAGATGGGAGCTCACCCCGCCACAGGGATTCGAACCGCCGAACATGCGATCGGTAAGCCCTAGGCACTGAGGTTTTACCCACAGCGCCACCCGCGTCCCTTTTTAAAATGAATTAGATAATGGCAAATCTTAAATTACTAACTTGGAATGTCAGTGGCCTTAACAGTAATATAAAAAGAAACAGGGTGTGGCATGAGTTTTAAAACGGAATTTGGATATAATTTGCCTACAGGAGACTCACGTTGCAAGAAAGCATGAGAAAATCTTGAGTAATGAGAGACTAGGGAGCCATTTTGTTGCATCAGATGTTTCCAAAAAATGTGGAATTGCTTTGTACATAAAACCTGCACTTGAACCACAATTAATTCAAAAGGATGAGAAAGGGAGAAAATTAATGGTAGAAATTAAATTTGAGGGAGAAAAAAGAATTTTGGTAGGGATATATGCACCAAATTAAAAATAAATAAATAAAAAATTCAGGATTTTGAGACAATTAGAGTCCCAATCACTAGCGAAAGAACGATTAGGAGGAAAGACACGAAAGAGGGTAGACTTTTCAAAACTTTTTTTTGAATGATAGAAAATGTAAAATTGATAGATATTTGGAGAATTAAGCATCCGTTCGAAAAACAGTTCACTTTTTTCTCTCATGTTCATGAAAGCAGTGCCTGACTGGATGCAGTTTGGGTCTCTAAGGAATTGGAGCCAAAAATTAAAAATATTGAAATAGATCCAAGAACAATGTCAGATCATAATTCTATAACTATGGAAATACAGAAAGAGATTCAGTCCACCTTTCGGTGGAGACTGAATGAAGAAATACTGGATGATATGACACAAAGAACGAGATTTTGAAAACGGGGGAAGTTCCAGAAACATGGAAAGAGGCTTATATAACTTTGATACCAAAACAAGATTTGGATGTGACGTTAGTTAAAAATTATAGGCTGATCTCAATACTTAATAATGATGATAAACTATTTGCATTTGTTTTGGCAAATAGAATGAAAAAATCCTAAAAGAATTTATTCGTCATGACCAAGCTGAATTCCTTCCAGGCAGAGAAATCAAAGATAATATTAGAAATGTATTAAATATTATAGAGTACCTGGAAGTGAGAAATGAGAAAAAAGCAGCATTAATGTTTAGAGATGCGGGAAAAGCATTTGATAATGTTTCTTGGAGCTTCATGAAGAGGGTGATGGAGGAGATGGGATTTGGAGTAAATTTTAATAGGGGAATGCAAGCTGTTCACTCAGATCAAAATGCAAAAATGATTGTAAATCGAGTGATAACAGATAAATGTAGTATACAAAAAGGAACTAGACAAGGATGCCCCTTGTCACCATTGTTGTTTGTTCTGGTACTGGAAGTCCTGACAAGAGGAGAATAATAATAATAATAATAATAATAATAATAATAATAATAATAATAATAATAATTTATTATTTGTACCCCGCCCATGCTGCTGGGTTTCCCCAGCCACTCTGGCGGCTTCCATAGAAACCAAAAAATACACTAAAATATCACACATTAAAACTTTCCCTGAAAAGGGCTGCCTTAAGATGTCTTCTGAATATCAGGTAGTTGTTTATCGCTTTGACATCTGATGGGAGGGTGTTCCACAGGGCGGCGCGCCACTACGAGAAGATTCAGGCATTCCCGCTACCAGGAGGCCCCAGGGGCCCCAAGAAGGTTTGCAGCCGACTCCACTGCCTTTGCAGGGAGTGGCTGGAGCCAGAGCGACACACCGAGGCTCAGATCTTGGACCTGGTGATCCTGAAGCAATCCTGCTGTCCTCCCCCCAGAGATGGAGAACTGGTGAAGGATCAGGGAGTGGAGACCAGTTTCCCAGCGGTGGCTCTGGCAGAAGGTTTCCTCCTGAGCCGGGCAGAGGAGAAGCAGCAGCAGGTGAGACAGTTTCATCCTGGTAATTCCCAGAGATCTGTGGTGGCTGCTGAATTCTGAGGGTGGTGTCTCTTAAAAGGCGAAAGTGGCTCTTGGGTGCAGAAGGTTCCGGGTTTAATTCCCTACATCTTCCGGCAGGGCTAGGAAATCATCCTTCCTGAAACCTGGAGAGATGCTTCCAGCCTGTGCAGACAGCACGGATCTAGATGGTCCAATGGTCTGGTTTGGACTAGGCAGCTTCCTTGGTTCCTATTTAAACAGCTCTTCAATTCCGAAGCAAGAGAACTAGAAACTTGCTTTGCCTTTCACCTGTGCCCTTCGATATTATTTGGAGCGCAATTTCAGCACCCCTTCACATTTTTCTGTTTTTTCCTGTCTATGCATTATTTTCCTTCACTGTGCCCACCCCCTCCGGGGATGTTCTCTCTCTCTCCCCCTGCTGAGTTGATTCCCCCTCCCCCCATATCTGAGCGAAAAGGGACCATAGGTCATAGAATAAACATCTCCCCCATATTGGTCTCTACAGCCAGAGAAGGCCCTGCAACTCTCCCAACATCTTGACCTGACCCCCAAAGGCACACTCCTCCATGGTCTCCTGAAACAGACGGATGCCAACATCATCATGGATTCCTGCATTGCAGCGGGTTGGACTAGATGACCCACAGGAGCCCTTCCACTCTAATGATTCTATGCACAATATTTTCTTACAATCATCAGAGGCAGCAATGCTTCTGAATACCAGTTGCAAGGAGAGGAGAGGGCTCTTCTGCTCGGATCCTGCCCTCTGGTTCCCCTCTGGTTGGCCACTGTGAGAACAGGATGCTGCCCTAGAAGGGACACTGACTTGATCAAGCAGTTCTTCTTAATGTTTATAATAATATAAAATAGTATGCAAATACAGTCAAACCTTGGCTCCTGAACACCTCCGTTTTGGATTCCTTACGCCATGAGCATTACAATTATAACAAATAAAGGCTTGACATATCTTGCTTTGCATGTCATGATTCTATCTCATATCTTAGTTTCACCTTTTAAGTTGAATTACTGAAATAAGTGAACTTTTCCATGATATTCTAATATTTCGAGGTTCACCTGTAATGATACATTGGGCAAAAGATATAGGTTATAATATACCGGTTGAATCATGGGAAAAACTGTGGCAAAGAGATTTTAAAATTCACAGCATGTAGTTCATTAAAAGAAAATTATATGAAGATGATGTACCGATGGTATTTCACTCCAGTAAAGCTTGCTAAAATGTATAAAGATACCTCTAATTTATACTGGAAATGTAAGGATAAGGAAGGTAATTTTTTCCCCCTAATGTGGTAGACGTGTAAAAAGTAAAGGGCTTCTGGGAAATGATATACAATGAACTTTTAAAAATTCTTAAAATTACGTTTGTTAAAAAAAACTAGGTGTAATAGGAGAAAAAATGCCTAGGAAGTAAAAGAGACTGTTTATTTATGCGACTACAGGGGCCAGATGCTACTAGCCCAGATGTGGAAAGAAGAAAGGGTCCCAACGAAAGAAGAATGGATAACTAAGATGATTGACTATGTCGAAACGGCTAAACTTACCGATCAGATGAGAAAAAATTCAATCAAGAATGGGGAAACTTTATAAACTATTTTAGAGAACACTGTAAAAAGTCAAAACATTAGCAGGTTTGATGTAACATTTATGAACTAAGAATAGAATTAGGAGGGACAAAATAAGTTGAAATTAATTGAGGAAATATATAGCAATTATATGCAAGGAGAATAAAAGGGGGGAATGGAAACGTGGCGGGGGAGGCAGTTATTGCAAATTTGGATTGGATATGTATGTACCAAAAGGAAAAACGTTGTTTATTGAAATTTGAAAATAATTATAATAAGAAATAGTTTAGAAAACGTTTTGGGGGCTCCCGCGCAGCTGATCCAGCGGGTCTTTCCGGAGGCGAGACCAGCGCCTCTCCTCGCTCTTTGCCCGGAGAAGCCCAGAGGCTCCTGCCGCTCGGCTCCGAAACGGTTAAGAGCAGCGGCGACAGAGCTGAGATTCCTAGAGCGGAGGGGAAAAAGGCTGACGGGAGAATAGGAGCTTCCGCTTCCTGTCCCGCTTTGGTGCGCGGGTGGGGGTCAGTTGCTGGTCATGGCGGCGGCCGTACTTTCTCGCGGAGGCGCTGGAGGTGCGTCTTATTATTATGCATTATAAGGGGAGGGAGTGTGGGGAGGGATGAAAAGAACCCCGTTAGGCAAACCGTTTCAATGTAAGTTTTTTCTGTCTCCTTTTTCTAGTCGTCAATTTACCCAGATTTTCACACGTTATTATTTTTAAATAGTGTTAATTTTAAATAATTTAATTTTAAATTATTTCAACCTCTTGAAAGTTGGTCAGCATTTTGGTGTAGATTTCTCCTAATGCCCACGCTTTTGCAAAGGGTATTTCCCATAATATTTACATTTGCCATAATTAATGCATTCTGTATATAATTCAGCTAAAATAATGCATTTATAGGTGTCTCCTCCCTTCAGGCCAACTCTGGCAGGTGGGGGACCTTCCTTGGGCTCCCCATAGGGCTTGGGGTCAAGGCAAACCCTTAAGCATTGAAAAACCTTCTGCAGGGGCTCCCCCTGGAACTTGCAATCATTTTTATCCGGCCTGATTTTACTATTAATTTCTTTTACTATAATTACTGTAATACCTCCCTATACCCACAGGCCTCAGGGCCGTTCACAGGATAAAATTACAATATAAGAACTCAAAGTACATTATCAAAACATAAACATAAACAAACCAATACCACCACCCCCAACACACACATTTTATATATTTTTGTTTCAATTAAGTAAGCAGTTTCTGTAAGAGCAGTTCGGGGCAGAAGAGGTTTTTTAAAAAAAGAGAAGCAAGCAATTTCAAGTCCACTTTAAAAGTGTGGCTGAGGCCTTATGCAGATAGGCTAATAATGATAATAGTACTGGTAATACAACTAACAATATGAATATCCCTGAGCGTCCTCTCCCACTTTGTGGAGCCCGATTGGCCCCCTAGTACACTCCAAGCTGGGAGACTGAGCGCAAGTGGATGAAAGATCCGAATGAATGCAACCAAACACTGGTAAGGGCTCATTATCAAGCCTAGCTAGTGGCAGTGAAGGCAGCAAAGAAAGCATAGTTTTTTGCCTCCATTGCCTCCTCATTATGTCGTCTGGCAGAACTTTTCCGGGTTGTACGGGGCCTTTTACAGGCTGATCCAAAGGAGGTGGTAGAACCAAAGGTAGCTCGCTTTGACTGCTTTGCAAAGCATGTTGTTGTTAAAATTGCTTGCCACAATGCTTCGACAATTGCAGGAGAGATCTGACCAGGTTCATATGGCAGGGTAAGAAACCCCACATAAAATACAAATTACTGACTGACAAAAAAAGAAAGGGGCGGGTTTCGCACTCCCCGATTTAAGAACATATTTCAAAGCCTCGTGCCTATGTTGGATAAAGGATTGAATCTTATTAGAGAAAACATATACTTGATTTGGAGAGTTGCAACAACAGGTACGGATGGCATAAAGCCAAAGTCCACACAGGGTTCACTAATCATATAGTCAGAAATGCTCTTTATAAAGTGGACAAAATACCAACCATTATTAGAAACCCAAACGCCATGGTGGCTGTCCCAGTAGAGACTTTTGCAGTCAAAAAAATAAATATGGAGGGAAATTGGACAACCTATAGTCAACTATTAAAAGAAGACAAGGACATCTGAGATTCAAAACATTCAGAGAGATAAGGCACTACCTCACCGATTGGCTTTCATATCACCAATGGAACAACGTTTTTAATTCAGATAAACAAAATTGGCTTTGGGAAAGATGAATCCAAACTACAAAAAGCATTATTACGAAATGACAAAAAATTATTATCTAAAACTGTTATTGGAATGGGATCTGAAAGATGAGGAAGTAAAGGGTATAATGGTTAAAGTATGTAAACTTGAATCAGATTATGACAAATTAATAATAGGTGAATGTTGAATACTATCAAAAACACAATGTAAATAAGAGTATAGAATATTGAAAGATGTTGAGTTGAGGCAGAGGGAAGTCACGGTGTTGGAATTTTTATTTTATATATCTTTACTTTATGTTGGAATCTTTTATTTTATGAATGGTATATTGATTGTATATATACTTTCTATAATAAACTTTATCGAGGAAAAAGAAGAAGATAAAATTGCTTGCATCCACCAAGATCTTGACTCTGCTGTTACAGCAGATGAATCTCATGGGGCGTCCAGAGCACAGTCTAGTCCTGTTGTGTTGGATGAGTTTTTTCAGTTGGTCAGGCTGGAGGATAAGGACAAGGTGCTTGGATCAGTCAGGGAGACCATTTGCACTCTAGACCCTTTCCCCTCTTGGCTGATAAAAACCAGCAGGGAGGGAACAGCAGGCTGGGCCAGGGAGATGATCAGTGCCTCTTTACAAGAGGGGGTGGTCCCTGCATGTTTGAAGGAGGCAGTGGTAAAACCACTCCTTACCAAAGGGAAAGGAGAGTATTAGCCGCTTTGAGACTCCTTAAAGGGAGTGAAAGGCGGGATATCAAATCCAAACTACTACTACTACTACTACTCCTCCTCTTCTTCTTCTTCTCTGAATTCAGAAAGCCTAACTACCGGCCAGTTGTTGATCTCCCTTTCCTGGGCAAGGTTCTGGAGCGAGTGGTCGCAGTCCAGATCCAGGTGCTTTTGGAAGAAACTGATTTTCTGGATCCATTTCAATCAGGGTTTAGGCCTGGTTTTGGCTCAGAACCTGCTTTGGTGGCCCTCTATGATGACCTCTGTCGAGAGAGAGACAAGGGAAATGTGTCCCTGTTCATTGTTCTCCACCTCTCAGCGGCTTTCAATACCACCCACCATGGTATCCTTCTGGAGCGACTTTCTGAACTGGGGGTGGGTGGCACTGCTTTGCGATGCTTCCAGTCCTACTTGGATGGTCATTTCCAAAGGGTGTTACTTGGGGAATGCATTTCAGCCCCATGGAAGCTTCAGTGTGGGGTTCCGCAAGGCCCAATCCAATCCCCCTTGTTGTTTAACATCTACATGAAATCTCTGGGAGGGGTTATCCAGAGGTTTGGAGTACGTTGCCAGCAGTATGCTGATGACACTCAGCTCTATTTCTCCTTTCTATCTGAAGATAAGGCAGTGGAAGTGCTGGACCAGTGTCTTGCCTGGGTAATGGACTGGATGAGAGCCAACAAATTGAAGCTCGATCCAGATAAGAGTGAGGCTCAGTTAGTGGGTGGTTCCCTAGAGCAGGTGGGTGGGAGGTCGCCTGCTCTTGATGGGGTTACACTTCCTCTGGAGGAGCAGGTTCGTCGCTTGGGGGTAATCCTGGATCCTTTGCTGTCGCTCGAGGCGCAGATGGGCTGTAGTGCCTTCCATCAGCTTTGACTGGTAGCCCAGCTACATCCCTATCTGGACAGGAATAGCCTATCTACCGTTGTCTATACTCTGGGAAATTCAAGGTTAGATATAGATATGCGTTATACGTAGGGCTGCCTCTGAAGACAGTCTGGAAACTTCAGCTAGTGCAGAATTTACTGGCCAGGTTGCTCACTGGAGCAAGGTGGTTTGAGCATATTACCCCCATCCTAGTCTGACTGCACTCGCTACCAAATAGTTTCCAGGCCCAATTCAAAGTGCTGGTTTTGACCTATAAAGCCTTAAATGGCTCAGGACCACAATACTTCAAGGGCCACCTCTTTGCATATGAACCTACTCGGACCCTGAGATCCCCTTCTGATCTCAAGTGGTCTAGCGGGTGGCAACACGAGAACAGGGCCTTCTCTGCAGTGGCTCCCCGTCTGTGGAATGCTCTCCCCAGGGAAGTTCACCTGATGCCTTCCTTATACACCTTTGTTGTTGTTTAGTCGTCTTAGTCGTGTCCGACTCTCCATGACCCCATGAATCAGAGCATGCCTTGGAAACTCACTTTCCTCTCAAAGCTTCTCCTTTTTTATGTCCATGGAGCTTTCATGGCAAAATACTGGAGTGGGTTGCCAGTTTCTTCTCCAGGTGGATCACATTTAGTCTAAACTCTCAGATGACCTGTCCATCTTCCTTCCTCAGGACCTGTAAGACAGAACTATTCCGCCTGGCTTTCAATTTGAACCTGGCCTGATCTTTTGTTCCCCTTCCTTCCTCCCCTCCCTTTTTTGTGAAGATTACCCACTCTGGGATCCCACAGCTAGTTCTTCCCTGGTCTCCTCGCTGGCCCAGGGGGGACTAATTTGGCCAGCTAGCTCGGGTGATCATCTAATGTTTATTAGATGGATTTCCCCCCAAATTGATTTTTGATTCTTGATTTTATTGTTATTTACGCTTCATACTGTATTTTATGCTGTTTTTTTGTAGCATCAATTGTTTTGTAGTATCAATTAATAATTTATTATTATTATTATTATTATTATTATTATTATTATTATTATTATTATAGGTCATAGCTTCTCTGAGTTATTCAAGCCCCTTCGCCACGACAACGCAGTGATCCATGAAGGGATATACACCTTTAGGTGCCATGCAAACATGTTCCTTTTAAACCAGGTTTTTGCTAGATATCTTTGACATCCTATAGTCTTTTTCAAATGTGGCTCTTTTTTGGGGTGGGGTGTTATTGGGCTGTTGTTTTTATACTGATTATATATTATGCGATCTTTTCTGTGAACCATGCTGAGTCCTCTGGGTATAGGGCGGTATTTAAACTCAATAAATAATAATAAAATATTAATACTTTCATTATTTGTACCCCACGGATCTGACTGGGTTGCCCCAGCCACTCTAGCTGGCTTCAAACAAATATAAAAGCATAATAAAACATTTAAAACTTCCTTCTACATGGCTGCCTCCAGTTGTCTTCTAAAAGTTGTATAGTTGTTTGTTTCCTTGACATCTGACGGGATAGCTTTCCACAGGGTGGGCACCACTACCAAGAAGGCCCTCTGCCTCGTTCCCTGTAACTTCCCTTCTCACAGTGAGGGAACTGCCACAAGGCCCTGGGACCTGGATCTCTGTGTCCTGACTGAATGATTGGGGTGAAGACACTCCTTTAGCATTTCATCAGTTAGTTTGCCTTTTTATTCCATCAGGAGATGTTGAAGGGATCCTGGCAGAAGGGGAACATTCAGAAGTGTCACCAAAAGGATCCAAAGAGGAGGAGGAGCAAAGGATGCTGGGAGGTCAAGATGGAGGCAGCAGGCAAGAGGGGAGACGAAAGCAGAAGCCGGATGGTGACTCTGGTACATCTCAGGGTGGTGAAAATCAAATTCCCAGAGAGGAGAAAAAGCATGAATGCACAGTGTGTGGAAAGAGATTGGGTAGTCGCTCATCTCTTACTTTACATCAAAGAGTGCACACAGGGGAGAAACCATATATATGTTCCGAGTGCGGAAAGAGCTTCCGTCGATGTGGTCAGCTTACATTGCATCAAAGAAATCATACAGGGGAGAAACCATATACATGTTCAGAGTGTGGAAAGAGCTTCAGTCAATGTGGTCAGCTTACCTCACATCAAAGAACTCATACAGGGGAGAAACCATATACATGTTCAGAGTGTGGAAAGAGCTTCAGTCGATGTGGCCAGCTTACTAGGCATCAAAGAACTCATACAGGGGAGAAACCGTATACATGTTCAGAGTGTGGAAAGAGCTTCTTTGAGAATTGTAGCCTTACCAGGCACCAAAGATCTCATACAGGGGAGAAACCGTATACATGTTCAGAGTGTGGAAAGTGCTTTATTTGGAGTAGGAACCTTATGTTGCATCAACGAACTCATACAGGGGAGAAACCATATAAATGCTTGGAGTGTGGAAAGAGCTTCAGTGCAACTAGTTCCCTTGCCTTGCATCTACGAACTCATACAGGGGAGAAACCGTATACATGTTCAGAGTGTGGAAAGAGCTTCAGTCACTGTGGCCAGCTTACTAGGCATCAAAGATCTCATACAGGGGAGAAACCGTATACATGTTCAGAGTGTGGAATGAGCTTCAGTAGGAATGGTACCCTTACCTCGCATCAAAGAAATCATACAGGGGAGAAACCATATACATGTTCAGAGTGTGGAAAGAGCTTCAGTCAATGTGGTCAGCTTACCTCACATCAAAGAACTCATACAGGGGAGAAACCATATACATGTTCAGAGTGTGGAAAGAGCTTCAGTCGATGTGGCCAGCTTACTAGGCATCAAAGAACTCATACAGGGGAGAAACCGTATACATGTTCAGAGTGTGGAAAGAGCTTCTTTGAGAATTGTAGCCTTACCAGGCACCAAAGATCTCATACAGGGGAGAAACCGTATACATGTTCAGAGTGTGGAAAGTGCTTTATTTGGAGTAGGAACCTTATGTTGCATCAACGAACTCATACAGGGGAGAAACCATATAAATGCTTGGAGTGTGGAAAGAGCTTCAGTGCAACTAGTTCCCTTGCCTTGCATCTACGAACTCATACAGGGGAGAAACCGTATACATGTTCAGAGTGTGGAAAGAGCTTCAGTCACTGTGGCCAGCTTACTAGGCATCAAAGATCTCATACAGGGGAGAAACCGTATACATGTTCAGAGTGTGGAATGAGCTTCAGTAGGAATGGTACCCTTACCTCGCATCAACGAACTCATACAGGGGAGAAACCGTATACATGTTCAGAGTGTGGAAAGAACTTCAGTCAGAGTAGCCACCTTAAGTCGCATCAAAGAACTCATACAGGTGAGAAACAGCATACGTGTTTGGAGTGTGGAATGAGCTTCGCTTACCGCAATGGGCTTGCTAGACATCAACAAACACATCGAGGCAACAAACCTTATAAATGCTGGGAATGTGGCAGGAGCTTCAGTCACAGTGGCAGTCTTACCTTGCATCAAAGATTGCACACAGGAGAGAAACCTTATAAATGTTTGGAGTGCGGGAAGAGCTTCAGACACAGTGGCAGTCTTACCTTGCATCAAAGATTGCACACAGAAGAGAAACCTTATAAATGTTTGGAGTGTGGGAAGAGCTTCTGTCATGGTAGCCAACTCACGTCGCATCAACGAACTCATACAGGAGAGAAACCGTATACATGTTTGGAGTGTGGAAGGAGCTTCAGTCACCATAGCACCTTTAAGTTGCATCAAAGAACTCATACAGGGGAGAAACCGTACACATGTTTGGAGTGTGGAAAAAGCTTCACGTGCAGTAGTAGCCTTACTAGACACCAAAGAACTCATACAGGGAGGAAATCTTAGAAATGTTTGGCCTTCAAAAAGAATTTATGTGACAAGGACTCCCTTACTAAACTGAAAAGAACTCGTACAAGGGAAACAGAAAGGGTTGGCGGTGTGGGAAGATATTTAATCATATCAAATACCTCCTACAGAGAGTACACCAATGATTGTGTTCAGAATTAGAATTAGCTTCCATTAGAATTTTTATTCCTTTTAGTGGCTGTGTTGCAGATTGTTCTCCTGATCAGAGTTAGATTTACATAGCTATGTTCTATTTTTTTTCTCATGCGTTATTTCCCATGTATTCATCACTTGTATATAGCGGTGCTTTAATATTTATCCGATCCCCAAAATTTGTTAATCTGGTGTGAATTGATCTGATATTTTTCATAGACACAAATGCATTCTCTGGTATTCTGTTGACGTATGTAAATGACGTATCTTTGCAATGAGAGTATAGCTCCTCAGATCACAGCTCTAATGAACAAATGCTGTTGAAAAACATATACTGTATAATAAGCCTCAATATGCAGTCAAGAGAAAAATTATTCTTCTTTGGCGTAGCAGAGTAAAATTGTCTTCCATGAACACAGTCTTAACAGTGAGTCCGTAAGTGACTGTGGAGGCCAATTCTGGACCCACACATCCTTCCACAGTGGGGACATAGCTTCCCAGGCGGGAGTTGATAATGGTTGGGGTTTGCCATGCATGCCTTCCTCTTAGCACGCTTCTCCCTTGCGTCCTGAGTTCGAGTGTCTTCAAAGTCCATGACGCCTTTGGTCGAGAGAGGAATTAGAACAGGATAGAATATTTCAATATAGTATTTTCCAGCCTGTGTCTAGAGTGTTAATGGGTCACTGTTTCAGGATGTGTGTTTCTTCACCTTCATCTGCCTAGGAGGGATATCAGTTTTATGTCTCCGAAATATCCAGGCAGTGGCCGGAATAGAGGCAATGGAAAGAATATGATGAAATAAAAGAACATCTTCAAAGCTGGCCTCATCATAGACAATTAAAGGATATCTTTAAAGAGGACAATAAGAAAGGCTTCTCATAGTCGGTTTCCAAATTCCAACGTGGAAGTGATAGAAGAAAGTACAAAATTATTTTAAAAAGGCATATAACATTCTTTTGCAGTGGGAAACCAAAGACGAAGAAGTAAACTCGGTAATGATTAAATAATGGGCCATAACATACAATTTGAAGATTGGATAAAATTGTGGAATAAATTTGAAATTTACAGATTGTATACTATTGAGAGAGACCTATATGAAAATGATGTATAGGTGGTATCTATCACCGGTTAAACTGGCAAAAACGTATAAAAATGAAAAGAGAGTGTTGGAGATGTGAAATAGAAGGTACGTTTTATCATATGTGGTGGGATTGTAAAAAGGTAAAAGCCTATTGGGAAATGATATATAATGAATTGAAGAAAGTGTTGAAAATAACTTTTCTAAAAAAAAATCAGAAGCCTTCTTGCTAGGTATTTTAGGCCAAGACATACCGAAAGAAAAGAGGACTTTATTTACGTATGTCACTACAGCAGCAAGAATGTTGATTGCACAAAATTGGAAGACTGGAGAAATACCCAGTAAAGAACCATGGCAGGAGAAGTTGATGAACTGTGAGGGGAGAGACTCCCTCAGGCAAGGCCTCCTTCCACCTGCCTTGCCCCACTCTCTGCTTCTCAATGTGTAGCGTATTGTTTTATGTACCGTGGCTTGCCATTGTCTTATTGATTACAGTTTAGATATTATTGTAACTTGAGTGGATTTCTGTTTAACTTTTATATGTTGATACTATTATTTTATACTGTTCTAATGATTGTTGAATGTTACTTTTTTGGATGGAGGTTTCCTATTTTATTATATATATATATATATATATATATATATATATATATATATATTTGCTTTCGTAGATTTTCACGGGTACAGGAATGCATCCCGATGACCTACTTGTGAGCTTCGATGTTGTATCTCTCTTCACACAAGTGCCCATTAATGAAGCCTTGACAGCCATTCAAAACAAATACAATCCCCCCGAATACATCCTGGACCTGACCAACCACTGCCTAACCAACACGTACTTCATCCACAATGGACAAAGATACAAACAGATAGAAGGAGCACCTATGGGATCACCCCTCTCACCGGTCATCGCAAATCTGTACATGGAACACTTTGAAACCAATGCTTTAGACAAGTCAGAACACAAACCCAAACTTTGGCTCAGATATGTTGACGACACCTTTGTAATTTGGCCACACGGGAAGGAAAAACTAGATAGCTTCCTCACACATCTCAACAGCCTACACCCCAAAATACAATTCACTATGGAAATAGAAGCCAACAACCAACTTCCCTTCCTTGACGTCCTAATCTACAAAAAACCTGATGGCTCCCTAGGACACACTATCTACCGGAAAAAAACACACACCAACCGCTACTTACATGCACAATCACACCACCACCCTGCACAAATAAACTCCGTAGCCAAGACTCTCATCTCCAGAACCAAACGCCTGGCTGACAAAGACCACTTGACAACTGAGTTACAGAATCTCTCAAATGTGTTAATCGCCAATGGATACCAGCAAAACAGGGTTACGAAGCTAATCCAAAAAGAAACACCCCCCAAAAACCAAGACACAGAAGAAAACAATGGCATGGCCCTCCTTCCTTATATCAAGGGCACTACAGATAAAATTAGCAAAATCCTCCATAAACACAATATCAAAACAGCCTTTTGCACCAACCAAAAAATAGCCAATATCCTCAGAAACCCCAAAGATAAAATCCAGTTGGAAAACCAAGGGGTCTATGAAATACCCTGCAAAGTCTGCCCAGCCACGTACATTGGACAAACAAACAGACGAATAAATGCACGTATCGCAGAACACAAGAATGCCGTCAAAAAAGAAGAAAAAACTTCCTCTCTTTTCCAACACATGAAAGAAACAGGACACGAAATTAATTTTGCAGATTCCAAATTGCTCTTTAACATGGAACATCACCACAAGAGAATAATCATGGAAGCCATCGAGATAGAGAAACACCCTCACAACATGAACAAGCGTGACGACACGTCCCGCCTGCCAGACATCTGGAAATTAGCCCTCCCCAAAAAAACCGACACCAGATCCAGAGGCACACAGAACGCCATCACCAATCAACCACACCAGACCCAAACCCAGACCCTCTCCACAGATAAATTACAGACACCATCCAGTAGCCAAACCATGGTGGCACCTCCGGATGCTGCACCCCCCTGCAATCCCTACACAGATCTGGCTGGCACAGGGCACAAAACCACAGCTCGCCCCTATACACGAAGCCAAGCCAGAGCACAACTAAGTGCAGTACAGCCATCTTCTCAGAAAAACTCTTCACAAAGTTCAAGAGGTCAAGACACGAAGGCTTTAGCAACTAATCCACACCTAATGACCCACCTAAGTGGTACTCAGAATATCACTCAAGAAATCACTCAAGATATCCCTCAAGTAATTAAGGAACAAAAGAAGAAAAGGAACACTAGCCTGGGAACTTCCTCTCTGCCCAGAACATTGGAGGCTATACACCACACCCCCTCAACAGTATTTATAGGAACTCAAACACTGAGATCCTGCTCTGTTCCAGTAACAAGAAGCCGAAAGCACCAGCCTGAAGATGACGAGTGAGACCTCGTCGAAACGTCGCCTAGACACCCCAACTTTTACACGGGAAGACACCCGAGGACACCAAAACCTGCATATATATATATATATATATATATATAATTCATTTTCAAGTACAAATTTAAACAACCAAATCTCATTTCATCACAAATTTCCCCCTTTTTTTTTACTTCCGTCAGTTTCTCTGCCAATCTTCCATTTAATTTATATTTTTAACGCATTTCTATATTACATATTGCCTTTAGAAATATCTTTCCCCCTTTTGATCTCTTTTTTACAATATTCCTCAATTCTTCACAAAGCTTCTTGGAAACCCACAAACGTTATTTGTTCATCACATAAACTTTTCAAATAATCTGTAAACCTTCCCCAATCTTGTAAACTTTTGATCTCGCTGGTATTGAATCTTCCCTGTTAGTTTATTCAATTCTGCGTATTCCGTCAATTTCAGTCTCCATTCTTCCCCCTAGGTAATACTTCCTGTTTCCATTTCTGGGCCAGAAGTATTCTCGCTGCTGTTGCTGCGTATTGGAAAAGTTTACAATCCTTCTTATTAATTTCATTTCCTACCATTCCTAAAAGAAAGGCCTCCGGTTTCTTAACAAATGTATATTTCAACATCTTTTTCAATTCATTATATATCACTTCCCAGAAACCTTTCACCTTCTTACATTCCCACCACAAATGATAGAATGTCCCTTATTTTTCCTTACATTTCCAACACTTATTTTTGCTAGTTTTACTGGTGTTATATACCATCTATACACCATTTTCATTACATTTTCTTTAACACAGTACATGCCGTAAATTTTAATCTTTCATTCCATAATTTTAACCAATCATCATATTGTATATTATAGCCAAAATCTCTGGCCCAGTGTATCATTACCGACTTAACCTCTTCATCTTTTGTATACCATTCCAGCAACATTTTATACATTTTAGACAGAATTTTATACTCGCTATTCAATACTTCTATTTGAAATTTCGACTCTTTTCCCCCATATCCATACTCTTTACACTCTTTTTTAAACATTTCATTAATCTGGTAGTAATGCAACCAATCATATACATGATCTTTAACTTCTTCATAAGGCTTCATTTTCCATTTCCCTCCCTCTTTTATTATCAACTCTCCATATGTTATCCATTTCCCCCTCATATTAATTTTTTTGACACTCATCACTTCTAGTGGTGATATCCAGTGGGGAAGTTTTGATTCAAGTAGGTTTTTATACCTATCCCATACATCAATAAGGGATCTCCTGAAGATGTGGTTTTCAAACCCTGTATGCATTTTCTTCTTTTCACACCATAAGTATGCATGCCAACCAAATCTATTGTCGAACCCTTCTAAATCCAACAATTCTCTATTTTCCAATTTTATCCACTCCTTTAACCAACAGAGACATGATGCTTCATAGTATAATTTCAAGTCCGGCAGGGCGAAGCCACCTCTTTCTTTTGCATATGTCAATAATTTATACTGAATTATTGGCTTCTTGCCCTGCCAGATGTACCTTGAAATTGTCCTGTGCCATTTTTTAAATATTGATGTCCCGTTGATTATCGGAAGTGAATGGAATATTCCAGTCTATTCCGGAAGTTGCCTATTTTAAAGTTATGTTTTATTATCACATTTTTGTATTGCATTAGATTGTTATAAGATGTACATTTTTTGTTTCTTCAGCCTTGAGTATTGTGAGATAGAAAGGCGGTATACAAATTAAAAATGATGATGATGATGATGATGTAGAACTGGCAAAAATGACAGACAGACTAAGAGAAAAGGACAACAGAGACTTTGAAAAACAATGGAAACCATTTACAGAAAAAAAGAAAGTCAATAGGCTTGAGGCAGGATTTAAATAAACATTCACACTATTAGTATTAGAAAATGTCCAGAAGATAGAGAAATATGGTGTGTTTACTTTTATGTATTTAGGTTTGATGTTATGTTATTAATATCTTTTTCTGTTAGGAGGTAGCAAGGTGGGTGAAAAGAGTAACAAACCAGAAGAGGAAGTTGGGGAAGCCCAGGAGGGGAGGGAGGAAGGAATACATAGTAAAGGTTAAGACTTTGAGATGTATGTAATGAATGAAAAAGAAAAGTGAATAAAATTTTATTTCAAAAAACCAATGAGTCCGTAAGTGACTGTGGAGGCCAATTCTGGACCCACACTTCCTTCCACAGTGGGGACATAGCTTTCCAGGTGGGAGTTGATCATGGTTAGGGTTTGCCATGCATGCCTTCCTTTTATCACACTTCTCCCTTGCGTTCTGAGTTCGAGTGTCTTCAAAGTCCATGACGCATTTGGTCGAGAGAGAAATTAGAACAGTATAGAAGATGCATTGATTTTCCAGCCTGTGTCTAGAGTGCTAATAGGTCACTGTTCCAGGATCTGTATTTCTTCACCTTCATCTGCCTAGGAGGGATTTCAGTTTTATGTCTCCGAAATATCCAGGCAGTGGCCGGTTCCTGATGGGATGTATTTGTGCTGTGTGTTCTCCCCCCAGCTCTCCCCTCCCCTAGAATTTCCCGTAACACCCCCCCACACACACACACACATTCTGGAAATGTGAAATCCACTATGTAGCTACGTGCAGGTATTTGTTTATCTTCTAATCTGGGAAAGTAAGAAGATGCAACCTCATCCAGCACACATTAAAAAACCCAATTATGTTTTAAATACAATTTTTAGATACATCAGTTTTGCACGGAAGAGCAGTCAAACATTTCAAAATACATATGTGTTAGCGAGACAGTTTCCTTCTTGCATAGTCTATTGAAAGGCAATGTTTCAGAACAGAACTCTGCTGATGAAATACCGAGTTACAGGTAGGTAGCCGTCTTGGTCTGCCATAGTCGAAACAGAAGATTTTTTTTTAAAAGATTCCTTCCAGTAGCACCTTGTTGTTGTTGTTTAGTCGTTTAGTCGTGTCCGACTCTTCGTGACCCCCTGGACCAGAGCACGCCAGGCACTCCTGTCTTCCACTGCCTCCCGCAGCTTGGTCAAACTCATGTTTGTGGCTTCGAGAACACTGTCCAGCCATCTCGTCCTCTGTCGTCCCCTTCTCCTTGTGCC